GAGAGGATGAGGAGAAAGCACAGGAACAGCTGTGCGGTTATAAATAGGCCTGGCTTCATGCAGACCATCCAGGAGAGGGTGCAGATTTAAACTAAATGCCAATTATAGGTTTAAAAAAAAGAAAAGGGAGGGTATTTGCCACAGGTTTTATAATCAGGGAGGCCCCCTGTCATTGTGGGTTCACTCTGTGAGCCCTCAGTTCAGCGGAAGAGTTCCTGAGGTGCTGTTTGTCCATAGATGACTGCCCGTCCACTCCGAGAGAGCGTGTGTTATTGTGGAGCTTCCCAAGCTTGTGACTGCCCTGCGTGGAGCACTGACCCCACTGTGTGCACACAAGCCCACTGCAGACTCATCCCCTGGGTGCACAGGGGTCCTGGGGACCCTCAGAAAGGGCCGCCCCCCAGCAGGCTCTCTGCTGCCGTCTGCCCGGCCCTACGTGGCTGCGACTGCTGCTGCTCCTCGCGGGCTGGTGACAGGGCCGTTTGGGACGGACTGGGACAGTTGCTCTGACTCCTGAATTAGAGAACTGATTGACAGGATCGCTTCTGTTGATCTTTTGCGGGATTGTCTCCTGTTGGCTGGGTTGTTGTTTCTCTCAGCTACAATGTAGGCTGGTTTGGCACGAGGGACCGCATGTCAGCCCCAGCAGTTTCTGCACAGAGGCACCGTTGCCATCAGCCCGGGGCTCCTCAGCCACTCCCAGGGGTCAGGTGGCAGAGTGACGTGGGAGTGTCTTCCTCCAGGAGAGAAGCCAGGTTTCCTTCTCATCCCCTGGCAGCGGGGGGTAGGTGGGGTCCGTGTGTGTGCCTACAGGGGGGTGCCTCCAGGAGGTGGCCGGACTCATGTCTCCTCTCTGCAGGGCACCCTCATCCAGCACCTGAAGGAGCATGTTCTCCATGGCAACATGGCCAGCAGTGACATCATCCTGTATTACACCACGGTGAGTGGGCTCTTGTGGGCTGCAGGTCATGCCTCCGGTCCCGCTGCCTCCTGGGACGGCCCTGGTTCCCTCAGGGCAGCAGGGCTGAACTTGGCTTGGGTCTGGTCTTCCTTACCTTTTTGCCTGTCCCTGTGCATGTGCGAGCAGTGAGGAGGACAGTACAGACCCCAGGCTGCCTGGCACATCTTCTGGGGATGACGCTCCCTCTGTGCCCTGAAGCTCTGGCACTCTGCCTGGCCCCCCTCCCCCCTCCAGTCCTGCTGCCTCCAGGGTCTCGGCACCAGTTTTTGCTCCTTCATTTGGCCTGTCCTCCCACGTCGGCCCCAGCTTCCTCTGGCAGACTCGGTGCACTGGGAGTTCTCAGGGGCCCAAGGAGACGGACTACTGATCCCAGTTCATGCAGGGGGCAGGAGCTTACCAAAGATGCTGTGAGTGTTGTCCGGTCTCAGTGTGCAATGGAAAAACTGAAAGAGAATTTGTTGGAAGGCTCTTTGGTGGTGTGAGAAGTACAAAAATGGCCCCAAAGATGTGCATGTCCTAACCCCTGGAACCTGTGAATGTGTGACCGTACATGGCAGAGGGGCTTTGTAGCTGTGATTCAGTTAAAGACCTTGAGATGGGAAGATTATTGGACATCACAGGTGGCCCAGTGTGATCACAGGGTCCTTCTAGAAGGAAGGTGGGAGGGTCGGAGTCAGAGAAGGAGATGTGAGGATGGCAGAAGAGGTTGGAGTGACGTGGGGCCATAAGCCGAGGAGTGTGGGCGTCTCTGGAAGCTGGAAAAGGCAAAAGAAATTCTCCCCTGAATCCCCCAGGAGGAATGCAGCCCCGCTGCCCCCTTGACTTTGGACTTCTGACCCCCAGAACGCCACAGAGAAGATGTTTTGGTCATTTATTGTAGCAGCAATAGGAAATGCATACAAGTGGCTCACCCAGTTCCTGCAACAGTTGGGTTCCAGGTGTGGAGACCAGGCGGGGCCAGAGGGAGGCAACACAGCAAAACTGGAGCTGTCCGCTCCCTGAACCCCACTGGGAAGCCTGCTGTCCTCACCCTGGCTAATGCTGGCACCACACCAAGCCTGTGCCCTGGCTGTGCTGCCCCTACAGAAGAGTTCTCTTCTGTCCCTGTGTCTTTGCTGGTACACCTGCTGGCTGAGCCCAGGTCCCCTGCTCTAGCTGCCCAAGAAGTCCAGCAGGTAAATTTTTGGCTTTGTTTCTGGCCGTGTATTTGCACAAGAACCCCGCAGAGGCTGCAGTGTGCCCTACAAAAAGAAGGGGTCCAGGTGGCCAAGAAGCACACAGTGCAGCAGAAGCTGATGTCGATAGAGTCCCCTCTCAGTGTCAGGCATCACCAGGCCTGCATGGAGGGAAACGGGGTGGCTGGCCCGCCTCTAGCACCTTGGTGTAATTTACTGTGGACTATGCATCACTAAGCCACAGTGTGAGTCCTGGAGGTTGGAGATATTCCTGTGCTTGTTGATTGCTGACAGATGGGAGCTTAGGACGAATCAAAGAAGTGGTATTTTATCCCAAGGGAGGAAAACTCAAAATTAGCTTTTCCAAGGCTGCAAATATCAAGAGGTTCCAGCACGATTTAGCTCTGTTCCCTGGACAACGATTCCGAGCTGAGTTCTGAGACATAATGCAGGAGGTGCCATCCTAAGCTGTGTGGTCCATGCCCAGGGCCCTGGCTTGCCCCTGGGGACAGGCCTCCCAGGACCCACAGACACAGGAGGGGACCCTGGGAGGGCTCTTGCTGAGAGTGGGGGCAGGTTTCCTTCTCTGTCGGTGTGGACAGCTGTAAATCAAGGGACTTGGGCCAAGTGATACAGGTTTCTTCCAGCCGCAGGGATTTGCTCCAGACCCCTCCTCATCCCTCCCCACCTGTGCCACAATGGTGCTGGCACCATCAGCCTCTGGGTCCTTTTTGTGCAGGAAGCCCAGCCCAGCGGTATTAATGGGGTGTCATTTTCAATTGCAGAAAGGCCCTGGCAGCTACACCACGTCCTACTGAGTAGCCTCCCTGGGATGTTGCAATTAAAAAAGACAGGGTCTTGCATCGAGGGGAGGTGCACAGTGGAAGGACACAAACCTGGAGCGATCCTCACAGGCGTTTCCTGGGAATTCCTGCCTGTGAAGGACTGGGCAGTTGGATTTTTCCTTGGAGCAGGCTGGGCACCAGCAGCCCTGGGTAGGGGTTGCTGTGGGGGCCCCACCCAGCCCGAGCCAGGCCTGAGCTGTGTCACCTACTGACTGACTTTAGCAGCTTTAGGACAGTGAGGCAGCTGTGCTGCTGTGCTGCTCTGGGTCCTGGCCCTGGGCTCTTCTGTTACCAACTAAACTTGGGGCATTAAAGCCTTTTAAAAAAGCAGCAACTAGAGATTTTTGCATGTCTTTAGCTCCCTTCTTGCCTGTGGTGCAAAGGGAAAGCCCAGGCTGGTCTCCAGAGCACATTCCCCACGCTGTTGGACCACTTGCTCCCCACTTGCAGGATCTGAGCTCGGGGTCAGGGGCTAGGCCTGGGCACCCAGCACTGGCTGCTCCAGTCTGGCCACCATGTCATCCACTCAGTGGGGAGCTGATTGTTCCTCTGGCCCCAGAGTGGAGAGTCCTGTGGGACTTTCCTCCTGTTCCATTGCTCTGTCACACTTGTTCAACTCAGGAACCTCCCACAAGTTGTCCCTGCCCATATGGGGGTGCCATTGTCTGTGGGTCTGTGAGTTTCTTTTTGCCTTTAAAACTTTTTTTAATAAAAAATAAAAGTTCTTGCATATGGCAGAAATTTCACGCAACCCTATGTGGAGACGTGGTGAGAAGCTGCATGTCCATACCTAGGACAGCCACATCGCTGTTCTCATGCATATTCTGTGGGCTTCTGCCCATGTGCCCATGCCTTTTGGGGTCTGGGGGGTGTTTTCCCATGTCTGGCCTTTTCTGGGTGTGAACAGGTTGTGCTGCATGCCCTGCCCTGGGCTCGTTTTGCCACTTTGTCTTAGAGACCGTTCTGTGTCAATCCAGACCTCGCGCTTTTTCATGGCCACACAGTGGCTAACTTCTGAAAACTTGCCTGGTGCCAGGGCTGCTATAAAGTTGATGGGCTGACTCTTCAGTGTCTGTGCCCCATGGCGTGTGTGCACTGTATGGAAATAACCTTGCTGGGCCTCTCAGGTGCTTTTTCGTCCCGCTGTCACTGGCAGGGCTGACACTTCTTGGGGCACATGCGTGTGTCTATCCATGTGATAGATTCTCAATGTGGAATTGCTGGGGTGAAGCATCATGCAGTTGAAGCGGCTGGTCCTGGCCTGTTTCTGGCTCAGATTTTGGTGGATTTCGGGGGATGCAGAGGCTGGGTGGCAGAGGTGAAGGAGCCTGCCTAGCTCAGTTTTCACTGTGCCCCTGTCTGTTCCAGGTTGGCTGGATGATGTGGAACTGGATGGTGTCCGTCCTTGCCACTGGAGCAGCCGTGGTCTTGTATGACGGCTCTCCGCTGGTGCCCACGCCCAACGTGCTCTGGGACCTGGTTGACCGGATAGGGTAGGTATCGAGACACCCGCCCCACTCCAGGGCTGCGCCGCTGTCAGCTGCCTTGTGAATCTGCGTGCTTTCTTGAGAGAGTGTGGCCATTGTGGATGTCCCCCTCTTGAGGGGCTGTGGGAGCACGTGGGACATGCCAAAACAGTTGAAGTTGCCAAGGAGGGTGGGCAGGGGTGGCAGCCCTGACAGGGACTGCCCTAGGAGATGGGGACTCTGCATGTCTAGCAAGGGCACCAAGGTCCAGAAGTGAGCTCTGCAGCACTGGGGGCCCCAGAGAGGGAATGTGATCTCACCTCTGTAACCTGGGATCTAAGAACAGCCAGAGATACTCAGGTGAGAGGAGGGCTGGGGGTCGGGAGAGTTCTGTTTCTCACAGGGCTCCGCAGCCCACGGGGAAGTTAGGGGACGAACTGGGCAGAAGGTAGACATCTGTCCTGGGGATTCAGGAAGGAGAGGTGCGGAGTCTGGTGTGGGACATTCACAGTGTTTGGACTTCCCGCCTGCCTGCCTCTGAGCCTGATGGTCAGGAGGGGAGCCCTGCTTGTCATCAGCTGCCCCTGAGCACTGGCCACTGTCTCCTCATCCTCTCAAACTCATCACGTGTGCTCAGACACTGTCTGCTTCCCTGGGTCCTGCTGACATCCTTGGATGACAAGTGGGCATCTGAGCGAGCAGAGGTAGAGCCCGTTAGGATGGAGCGTCAGGTCGTCGGCATTGTTAGGAACCGTCAGCAGACTGCTTCATTAGTGCTTCCTGTGCTGATGAATTAACCATAACTGGTTGTTATATTCTTGCCACCACGGTTCATGGTCACTGTCGGCCTGATGACCGTGTTTCTAGGAGGGAGAACTAGAAGCCAGCAGAGCTCTGGGGCCCGGAAGTCAGCTGTGCTCTGAAACGCTCTAATGACCTGAGGCTTGAGTCTGTTCACAGTGGGGAAGCAGAAGGCGCTATGAATGTTTTTAAATCTCTGTTCATTAATATTTTAAATATAACTTTGCCTCGCCTGGGCAATATTTAAATCCTGACATTTGGCTCACAATATTAGTGAGGAAGGTTATTTCCTAATGAGATCATTGCAAACAAAAGATTAATGGGATATCTGGAAACATGGGTCTTTAAGGTCTTTACCCTTCACACCTGTCTTGGGTCCTGTGGCAGACACTGTCCCTGGGGAAAGAGGGATGCTTATTGCTGATGAAGGTGAAGCATGAGGGTGCCAGGGAACCCAGCTTTGTGTGAGTGTGTTTGTGCATGGCAAGAGCATGTTTGTGTGCACATATGTTTGTACCCAAAGTGAGTGAAAGTGTGTGAGCGAGAGTATGCACATGTACAGGCGTGTGAGTCTTAGTGGGGAATGAATGTGTGTTCATGTGGAAGTGCGTGTGTGCACGTGGGTGTGCATGCATGCATGCCTGTAAACATGTGTGCATGTTTGAGGGTCCCTAGCTCTGAGTGGTCTGGTCGACATGGCAGGCATAGACTGAGCGTCTGCCTCCATCGGCCTTGTTGGCTTGTGCCCTGGGCACTGACTGAGATGCGACCCTGGCTGACTGCAGTGGGGGCTTGCTTGCGGGTAGACTGCAGTGGGGGTTTAGCGAGGTGGGTGCATCTCTGTAGGCTGAGCAGGGCCTGGGGGTGAGGGGTGCTCAGAAGGCCTGCAGGCCTCAAATCCCTGCTCCGACTGCCTTCCACAGTGAAGAGTGGGCACAAGGCAGGTGGGGCAGGGTGCCTTTGCCTCAGCTTTGTGTGCCTCCTGAAAACGGAGCAAAACTGCATTGCACACTGTTGCATGAAATCCCATTGGCTGTGGCAAGGAAGTGGCTCTTCAGCCCTGGCAGGGCAGTGCTCTTCAGGGCCTCTGGTTTTTACAATATTGGCACGTTTGAGAATGAAGCTTCGCTTCTGCATGGAGGGTGCACTGTGGGTGAGGGCAGATGCGGGAGACTGAGTCTCAGGCTGATGGAGTGCTCTGGCATGGGATGGTGGCCTTGGAGGACCTGCCGGGACATGGACTCATGGGGTTCTGGCGCAGGGGCTGCCTGGTGCTTTCCAGCTAGGCAGCTGCCCCATTAGTGGGGGATTCCCAGCAATGCTCCCTGATAGCACACAGCTCGGAGCACACCCACAGGGCTCCTGTACTTCAGGAGCTCATGTTTTTTTAACCATCTTATGCAAACCCTGGAAATGGATGGGGAGGCCTGGCCAGTTCTCCAGAAGCAGGCGGTGACTTGGGGCCGGGGTGCCTGCTCAGAATCTGTGTACACAGCCAAGGTCAGTGTTTGCAGAGATCCACCTGTGACTTAAACACTCTTGATTTCGGGAAGAAGAGCAGAATAAAATCCATGTTTTCCTGGTGTGGTTGGTGATTGGATATCTGTACCCATGGCTGGGGTGGTCACGGCTGTGTAGGACCAGGGGGATCCATCAGCAGAGTGGGTGGAGTCCCCAGTTTTCTGTGAAAATACAGATTTCCCAACGGTGTGACACCTGAGTCCTCAGAGATGATCTTAAATTCTTAATCAGGCTGAGTTTATGAAACAAATATGGGGGGACAGGGCAGGAACGTGTATATTTTGTGCTACCCCCAGCCTCCCCCTTCTCCAAACAGCCATCTCAGGGCATAGTGACCCAGGAGGTGCCTGAGGCCTTCGCGGAGGGAGTATTGGTAGCAGAGTGGTCCTGGTGAAGTGAAGAGGATCTGGGGACAAGGACGTGGGAGAGACGGTGGCTCTGAGGGCCCCACCCTGCTGTCGGTTGGTCGGCTGTCTCCCTAGGACCTTGCCACCCATGTGTGAAGGGATGAGGTTCTCCTGCCTAGAGGGACATAGAGATGCCTTGATTTTACAGCCTTGGTTGAGCCCCCAAGAGAAAACATCCTTCAGTTAGGAGGAGAGATTATGTGTTAAGAAAGAACTGCCGAGGAAGGAAATAGGATATCCAATGACGCTCTCCCCTTGATAACACTGTGATCTACACACAATACAACGGGTTGTTGTCTGAGTCCAAATACCGTCAGGATAAAAGACTGTATGTAGATTCTAAATGTTCTAAGTTTCATGAAATTGGGGTCTTATTTAAGAACAGGGGATGGATCAAGAATTCCAAGTATGGCATCTGTTCTAACAAAAGATGCTCTAGCTCTGTCCACCTCCCTGGAAGATGAAATGTGAAGTTTCAATTTGAAAGGCCTTGTTTATTTTGTTTCCCCAAGAGAAAATATTCTGCAGTTGGGAAGATAGTAGGTTTATGTGCAAGTGATTGTTATAAGTAGAGCCAGATGTGAGAGGCAGCCAGGGTACCCTGCACGTTGAGTTGATGTGAAGACCTGTTCCAGCTATGCCCCAGAGTAAACACAGGTGTTGTGACTCCTTTCAGCTAAACATGAAGTATTAACCCAGAAAAGTGATGGGTCTTGGATTTTGAAAACTTGTCAGAAACGAGTCACTTATTTCAGAAAGCTTTGGTGCATGGAATATGCGAGAGCTGTGAAGAGTTTCTGGTGTTTTCTTCCCTCTTGTGCCCTTAGCATCACCATCCTTGGAACAGGAGCCAAGTGGCTATCTGTGCTTGAAGAGAAAAACATGAAGCCAGGTAAGCATGCCACCGAGTGTCTGTTCCCTGTGTTGCTGGTGGAGGGAATCAGATCTGCTGTACCACCTGTTTCTTGCACGTAAGCCAGGCTGCAGATGTTGGGTTTGGTTTTAACCTTTGTGACTCTTCACCCTAGTGGAAACCCACAGTCTCCAGACACTTCATACAATCCTGTCCACTGGTTCCCCACTGAAAGCCCAAAGCTATGAATATGTCTACAGCTGCGTCAAGAGCAGTGTCCTCCTGGGCTCCATCTCAGGTACGGCCAGCTCCCCTCTGTGTACTGGTGCCATGCAGGGCATCTGGGTAATCAGAGGAAGTGGGGACACTGCCAGGCTGGCCCCTCTGGCTAAGTCCACTGACTTGAATTTCTCCTAAGACAACAATCAGCAGGGCATGTGTACATGTATAGTTGATTCACCTTATGCTTGGTAATTATGTTCTAGAAAGCCACTGTAAAAGTCACTGAGTTAGTGAAAACTGAACCATTTCCCTGGGGTGCGTGTGTGCATGTGTGTGTGGGCTATTCATACACATACATTGCATACAATATGCAGCAGCTGGGCCTGTGTATATGTATATACTGTGCATGTGCATGAATATACAATGTGTACATGTATGCATACATGTGCACACACTACTAAGTCCTAAAAATAACTCATCCTGGTAGATTTTTTGTTTTATAAGAGAGAACTTTTGTTCAGAAGTGTTAAGGGACTTGCTTGAGGCTGCCCCCCTGACAGGGCACAGCACCCTAGGGATTCAAACCCTATCCAGCTGGCCACAGGGCCCACGCCTTGTGCACACCAACCCCTCCCGTCTTCATCCTCTGATCCTCTCCGTGGGAGCTGAACCAGAGGGCCAAGCACCCTGCATTGGACCTCTGCTGAGAGTGTGCATGGCGGGCCATTCAAGTTTCTCTCCACATGTTCTCCATTGACCTTGAAAGCACCCTGAGTGTTGATTTTGGGGTTACAAATGTTAGGGAATAGGAGAATTTGCAGATGCAGGATCTGTAAGTAATGAGGACTGGCTATATCTAAGGACAGTTACTGCAGCACTGTTTATATTAATTAAGAAATGGAAATTAACTGTATGCCCAAAAGAAGGGAATCAATTAAATAATTTATGGTGCATCCTTACTTCATGCAGCCATTAAAAGTGATATAAAAGAAGTATTTATTTAGATGGGTATATATTTATTGATACTAAAAAAGGGTCATGATATGTTATGTAAGAAAAGCAGACTGTTGAACTATAAGCTGTGCTCATTTTTGTAGATTGGGAAAAGGAATGTGCAGATGTGTCTGTACATTCATATGTGTGCACACTCGTGTGTGTACATATGGGGATTGGGATTTCATGTGGCTTTTTTCTTAAAGTTGTGCTTTGGAAAATGATTTGTGTATGTGGCAACAATTCAAAATCTGGAAAGGAAGTAAAGAGATGTCTCCCGCCACGCACCCTTATCCCTCTCTCCCTCCGCAAGGCAATGAAGTGCTTGTTTTTAGGCATAGATGAGGTCTCAGGACAGTCTGGGCTATCAGGGAGAGCAGGGCAGGACATGCGGAGCTCTGGTGTCTGGTCAGGGTCCTGCCGATATCTCACAGGGCCTTGGGGCATCCTTTCCCTTCTGGGCCTCAGACCCCCCAACAAAAGGAATGGAGTGTACCGCGTGGTCTCCAGGGCCCTTCAGGCTGACACTGCCTGCCGCATGGACAGAAGTGCCAGGGCTGTGGTCGTTTATTCAGCAGAGTCATTTGGTGTCTTGGTAGCTGATTTCTGTCAATGTTTGCTGGTGCTACTCAGTGGGATGCTGCGAAACCTTGAGACATAATGGCCTTGTGTGACCTGAGACAAAGCAGGCTCCAAGACACTCACCAGGGAAAAGCAAGAGCGTGCACGAGATGCTCCTGTTTGTATGAAAGAGGCTTGTCGTTTATAGAGCACGTCTGGCCACTGGGTGGAGAATCAGGTGTCAGGGAGACTCACTTCCACTCTTTACCCTCCTGGAAGCACTGAGCCCTGTGCCATGTGCACTGCCTATACGAGCAGCCAGTTTATAAAAGCCTGGGGAGATGCACTTTGGTGGCGCCACTGGATGATTTGATGATGTGAACGATGACAGTGTGTTTTGGGCTCAGAGCCTGTTGGTGCTGGGCTGGTGGTCTGGTGTCAAGAGCTACCTGGGGGCCAGTGCTCACACCTCTCTGGGGCCTGGTGGGCTGGTCAGACCTTGCTGGCCACTGAAATAAACACGACTCTCATTTTCATGGGACTGTCAGCTGGTAAGGAGGTGCCCTGAGGCACGAAGGACCCTGCATTTCCATGCTCTGCCTCAGGGAAGAAATAGTCATCCCAGGATGGTGGCCAGAATTAAGTCCTGCTGGTTGATGGAAGCATCAAGTTACCTTATGTGGGTCTTGAACCCCACTTACCCCCCAGTTCATACACACAGGGAATGATTAAGGAAAAAGCATTCTTTTTTTCAATAGTGAAGATAGCTTTTCGGTATGCAGACAAGTATGAGGAGGAGCAGACTCTGTGTCTCATTGCTGAGTTTAGCGAAGGGCACGTTCGGCCCACCCCGTGCACCTGCTGGCTTCCGCTCTGTGGTTGGCCTCTCCGCCTGCCCCTGTGTGTGTGTGTGTGACTCTGTGCTCACAGTGCACCCTGCAGCTCAGACTCCCTCCCTGCCCTGGGTGCTCGGGTGCTGTGAGGGGCAGGTTTTGGCCGCAGTAGGTCCAGGCTCGGGGGTCGGTACTGCTTCTGCTGGCATTGACTCTGACTCCCTTTTGAGCTTCCTCCTGAAGTCAGAGCATCCCCGTTCTTCCACATTCCCTCTCGCACGGGACTCACTGCATGGACCTCAGGGTTTCCGCTCTTCTGATGGTTGAGTGAATGTAGACCTCGGCAGAGAGCCTTCACTGCCAGCCTCTGAGCCAGTGCCTGTGTGCAGCTCTAAGAGGTGAAGCTTCCCTTTTCCGTGAGCCAAGGCCTTGAATTTCAGTGTGACCGCGAGAGGTCATTTATCTAGTTTTTCCTGCAGCAGGAAGGCTTCGTGAAAAAATAAATCACCCAGACACGGATGGTTGGTTCCATTTCTAAATGACCTCCCCCATTTCTCCCTGAAAAGAAGCTCCAGCTGTCTGGGGAGTTTTCAGGATTTGTCTGGAGAAAGAGTAGTAGATATTTGTCCTTTGGAGTCTTTTTCCTTTGTTGTTCACTAATAAAAACATAAGCAATTTATCAGTCTCTGAATTTTGAACCTCTATCTGTGTTGCTTGCAGGGGGCACCGACATCATCTCGTGCTTTATGGGCCAGAATCCCTCTGTTCCTGTGTACAAAGGGGAGATCCAGGCCCGGAACCTGGGCATGGCCGTGGAAGCCTGGGATGAGGAAGGTGTGGCTGCACCAACTGCTTCTCTTTCCGTGACTGGTTTGAATGGGTACTGGGTGTCAGTTCGCCACGCCCACCTCTCACTTGTGGACAGGTGTCCTTCAAGCCTGGTTTAATGCTCACTGGGCCCTCCTCCCCTGTGCCCTTTAGCCCGCCCACCTGAGAAGGAGATGTGGGCTGGAGCACAGGTGCAGCAGTGCCCTTGGAACCCAAGCATCAGAGATGCTGAGGCAGCCCCGCTACTTTGCTAGCCTGATGCCCTGACATTGACAAGGCCCCAGTGGGGAAAAAGGGGTTGACCTCTCTGCTGGTCTCAGGACAGGCTTTGCTCCATAGCCTGTAGTGGCCCTGGGCTGCTAATCAGCAAAGGCTGTTTGTGGCTTCAGCTGCAGACAGGGCTGGTGTGTGGTGTGCACTGTACAAGCTTGTGGCTTAAACTGCTTGCACCTGATGGAGTTAAAGGGGAGGTCATGCCAACCCCCTTTTGCTGAGACAGAGGGAAAGACCATAGCAGCGGTGGCCGGGCCAGGCTGGGGGCCGGAGGCCTAGAGAGTGCCGAGTTCCTCCTTCAGTTCCCTGGAAACGTTGCCAGAGACCTTGCTGGGAATCAGTTCGTCTTCAGAGGAGGGCTTTTCCCTTTTGCTGCCCAGAGTGATTTGCTCTTAAAAATTCTGTGTTCTACATGTCTTTTCTTCCCACTTGTGTCTGACCCCTTTCTCCTGGGCCTGGATGCTGTTGCATCCCCAGCAGAGAAACACTCTCTGCTCTCAGATAAAGTTACTTGTGTGTCTTGTATCTTGTGGATTTTGGGACATGAAATCAGTTAGCTAAGGTGAAAGAAATCTGAATAATCAGGAGCCTCATCAGTTACATGGTGGAGACTCAGGCTTCTCCATATGAGTCCTTCCATGCTTTGCCCATGGAAGGTGCTGGATGACCTCACTGCTGCCAGGGGCTGAGTCATGGCAAGGGGTGCACTCCCACCTCTTGTAGGCCCCCGGGGCCTGTGCTGTGCCTTGAGCTGGAGATGTGGCTGCCCTGGTGAGAGCAGGTATGTCCCAGTGCCACTCTTCCAGCTGAAAGTTTGGTGATGGTGAGTAAAGATGAGGATACGTAGGTGCCCTGTGAGCGAGGAATCCACTCCCAGGACAGGTACTTGGAAATGTGAGCAGGTGATATGTACAAGAATATTCATGGCAGCGTGGTTTGTAATCAAGAACAAGTTTGGGAACAATGTAAATGTGCCTCTTCAGGATGAATAGACTGCTGTGATCACACACTCTAGGGAGGTGGATGAGTCCCTAGATAGTGCTCTGGACATCAAGCAGGGGCCTGACATGCAGCATGATGCCATTTGTGCAAAGTTTAGAGACATGCAAAATGATAGTATATTCATCAGAGATGCACGTAGAAGTGGCACAGGAATTAAACATACCTATACTTGTAGGAATAATAAAACATTACATTCAGAGGGTGGGGGGAAGGTCATTTGGGGACCAAGCATGGCTTTTAGTACTGCAGAGGTGCTGGGCGTATGTGTGTGGCTCAGCACTGTGCTTCTGTGCGTGTCTGAAATACTGCATCATCAGAAAAGCTGAGCAGAGAAGGGGAGACAGGACCGGGGTGTGTGCTCAGATTATTTTTTAATTCTCCCCAAACCAGGAAAGGCAGTGTGGGGAGAGAGTGGTGAGCTGGTGTGCACCAAGCCACTTCCCTGCCAGCCCACGCACTTCTGGAACGACGAGAATGGGAGCAAGTACAGGAAGGCATATTTCTCCAAATTCCCAGGTAGGTTGGAGATGCCGACAGAGCTGCCCAGACTCCTGCCTGCACTGAGCTCTCTGTGTCTCACTGTGGACTTGCTCATCCCCCTCTCTGCCCCACACACATGCCCAAGCCTGGTAAAGCTGCTCACAGCTCATTCTGCCAGGGGCATTAATGAGTTTTTGATCAATATCTTGTCACTTCAGCTTGAAGCCATCATCTGGAACTGTAATCTGGGTTTAGTTTCATCTTCACCACCCTCTGTGCCCATGGCCCCAAGCCCTGTGGGGGGCTGGCACAGGCCACTAATTTACTTGTGAAGGCAGAGAGCCACATGCTTACTCAGGATTGTGTCTGAGTTCAGAGAGAACTGGTGTGTGCAAGAGGTGTCTGGCTTGGGGCTCTCCATCTCTGCCCCACCACCATCCAGTCCTTGCCGAAGTGGAGGAAGAGCCAGTTTGCTGGGGAATGATTTACAACCAGGCCTGTCACTCTCACACAGACTGACACCATGCGGTTCGCCTTCTGAGTGTGCCTTGCCCCAGAGCAGGGAAGTGTTTTATTTAAAGCTCCAGTTCCTGCCTTCATCCTATCTTATTTCATAAGCAACCTTGAGTTATTGCTGCTATATAATTTACAATTTAGCAACCCTTCTGTTCCAGAGTTATTTATATTAAGTACTTCCTTTCTGCAGTCTCTAGAAAGGTAATTTGATTTGTGTAAACCACATGGGTGACCGTCGGTGTTAGAGTCTGCCATGGATCCTTCCTGTTTCTTGGTCTTGCGTGTTGCACATCCTGTGCAAAAGCCATGGTATCCGGCATCACACCTCCACACTTGAGTTACAGGAGCACCCCCGATGTGGCCTGGTCTCCATTCGATATCTGCTGCATTTAAGTCCCACCTCAGATCCTGCCCACGTGCAGATGTCCAGACTGAGGCCCTGTAGAGGGAGCATGTATATACTTATATATAGAGAGAAATGGCCTTCAAATAACCCTGGAAAAGAGGGCAGGGGCTCCTGTCTTAGGAGGAGAGGCCCAAAGTATTAGAACCTCAGCTTGAGGATTCATCTAAGAAATGACATCTCTTCCTCTTCTGCAATACTGCACTTTGAAAACTGTCTTTTCTGTCACTTCTTACTATATATACAAGGGTTGACATGATAAATGCCTCTCAGGACAAGTCTTTAATTCAAAATAAGTCTTAATTTCAGAATACGTCTCTCCCCCTTTTTTTGAAGCTCTGATGTTTTCTTTTGGTGAAAACAAATATTTCATGACCTGTTATATTTCCATTTTTGCCTTGGCTGCCAGGAAACTCAGAGTTGAAATCATTGCTTTGTTGTAGCAGTCCTCTCACTCTCCCAATGCGGTGTTTCTGATTTTCTTTAACTACTCTCATCATGTGGTTGGTTTAATAGGTAGTTTCCTCAAATACTTTCTGGGAGTAGGTTGGAGACATAGAGAAATAGAAATAGAAAAAGAAAGGCAGTTAAGATAATGCTTTTGGTCATGGACCAGGTGAACATAGGTTGAACCTAGACTTTCTCCAAGCCCCAGCACTGAGGGATTCTTGGACTGTGTAGGGAATGGCTTGATGACACAAGAAAGCGTGCAAAAAAGCAAAGTATTCCTTCCTGCCAAGGCAGTGAACTCACAGACATCATTACCCTGCACAGTTTGGCCAGGTGCACGTGAACAGGCAGTGTGCTGGCATGGGAAGACACCTCAGGGAAGGGCTGGGTGGCCATTCATCCTGGCGTTTGGTCACTAGCCCCACCACTGACATGGGGGAGGAAGAGGAGAACCAGGCGTGAAGCTGTGGAAGGAGTTTGCACTGCAGGCCCAGGCAGGGAAACCCAGAAGGACACCTTCGTTTCTTTGACAGGACAACCTGGCCTTGGAGCCACGGCCACTTGTGGGTTCTTCCCTTGGACTTTGTGGCCCAAGAGATTGAAGCATTTCTTTTCGTTTTCACAAGTGGCAATTTCTTCAGGGTAGATTGGCATCTTTTTCTCTGCATTAATTTCTGGGGCCTTGCATGAATTATCAAGCTCACAGGAGCCCCGACTCCATGCAAATCAGACTGTGTGTCAATCTGCAACCCAAGTTCCCAAATGAAAAAGGAATCCTAGGTGGGTGGGTGGGCGGGCCAGGCTCTGCTGCTGTGCCTGCAGCTTCCTGTCTTCCTGGGACTGCCCCTTACAGACTGGTTCTCTGCAAAACTTTGTCTTATTGTTTGGGTGCCTAGGAGTGATGTTTTTCTTCCTCTTTGTGTAGGTGAGTCTTAAAAGTCAGATCAGAAAGAAAAGGGTCCATTCTTTAGCTTGAGGAGGAGGGAAGACCTTGAGGCCTGCAGTTTCTTTTGCATCAGAATAGATGAGTGCATGAGGCCTTTGGCTCACAAGCTGCCCATGCAAGGATGGAGGGCTGCCTGTGGATGCACCTGGGGCTTCACCTCCCAAGCAGGCCTCATCGTGGCCTGCAGCAGCCTCTGGGCTAGGAAGGAACAAGGGGTAAATGGAGTGCATTGTTGCCGGGGTTGTGCCTCAATGATAAGTTGGAGCTGATTGAGTTAGTGCTTAGAGTCGGGAGTGTCTCAAGACTGGGAAGAAAGATAGGCTGTCTGAGGACACAGGGGCTGGTTTTATTTGGTGTTTTCCCTTCCTGATTGCAGGGACTCAGGCTTACTTCAGGAGGCCAGGCTGCTGCTGTGGCAAATGACTTCCCGGTCACTGCAGAGCCGGTGGAGACATGCTCTTGATTATCCACACCCAGCTGGCCTCTGCTTATGGGCTGATCAGGGGCCACTGCAGTTGCCTTAAGGTCCACTGCCCACTGGAGGAGACCTCCAGCAGGTGTAATTGCTCCTTGGCAACTCCCTCTGAGGCATGGCTTCTCTTTACTGTTTGGTGTGGGGTGGAGGATGTGCCCACAGCTGGGCGTCCTTTGGGTATATTAGTTTGCTTGCACCCCAGAATGAGGTCCTCCTGTGAAAGTCACCAGCCCAGGACCCAGCTGCACACTGTGGCCCACATGGGGATGTTCAGGCGGCTTCTATTCTTACCTTTTCCCTGCCCTCCATGTACCCAGGACTTTACCTGATACTTAGCTCTCTGTCCACATGGCTGGTGCCTTAGTGTAGACCTACATTACTGGGACTGGTACAGTAGCATCCTGCCTACTCATGCTGCTTCTGTTTATTCCATCCCAAGATTGGCCCTAACTCCTCCAGCTTCCTGAGGTATGGCTGGTTCTTCCCCACGGTCCACTCAGCAGGCCCTCCCCGAAAGCTCTGACTGACCTCCTCTGTTCCCCCTCACATCTCACTGCTGGGTGTGGGCTCACCTTTGTGAATTCCCGCACTCCCACTGGAGTTTCTTACATGCTAGTGCATGTCAGAACTGGGTATGCAGCAGCCCCACCAATTGGTGTGCTCCTTGGGGGCAGACTGGCTGGCTCAGTTCCACCCCGGCCCTGGCATCCCTGCTTCTGGGCCTTGGCTGGCCTGTTGCTGAGTGTCCTGTTGCTGTTATGTCTGCCACAGACATCTGTCCTGGCAGCCAGTCAGGACCCCTTCTTCTGGGTTGACTGAGCACCTCTGCCTCCCTGCAGGTGTCTGGGCACATGGTGACTACTGCAGGATCAACCCCAAGACTGGGGGCATCATCATGCTGGGCCGGAGGTGAGGGCTTCTCTTCCCTGGAGACCCCCTTCCTGAGGCAGGGGGTGGGGGGTGCTTCCTATGTCCTGGGCCCTCCACCTGCCAGCCTGTGGTGTGGGCTGTCTGTGCCCATTTCTGACCCTTACAGGACTGGGAGGTTGTGGGTGTTGGGGTGCACACCACACCCAGGAGAGAGGGACACGTGTACAGGTGGGAAGGGACAAAGAGGTGACAGATGTCTCCACACAAAGGGGACTCCCGTGATGCCTCACTTTGAATTTAGAGGGAAAGAGGGAGAGAGGGGTGGCTGGTAGGGATGAGGCACTGGGGCGGGAGCCAATGCCTGGATGGTGTTGCCCTGTGGAAAGGGGGTGACCGCCCTGCCTCTGTGATGTGACTCACTCGGGAGCTGCTGTGTGCTTACGCATCGTCTTTCTTTCCAGTGATGGCACGCTCAACCCCAATGGAGTGCGATTTGGCAGTTCGGAAATCTATAACATTGGTATGCATTTTCCCTTTCTCCCAAGTTATTCTCAAGTCATCTGGGAAGGCAGGCAGGAACGCCCTAGTGGGCGCCCTGACCCTGCTTTCTGAAGATCCAGCTCTGGCTCATTTGCCTCCAGGTGTGGGAATAGACAGTTATGAGCCCTTCTTTCCCGAACACACCCCATGCACACTGCTTGTAGTTTACAAAACCTCAGAATGGACCGTTAAGGCCACACTGCCTACCGCATTCCAGTACAGTCCACCCTGTTGGTGTGCTTGTTGGATTGGTTAATTGTGTCTGCTCTTTATGGGTGAAGAAAGAAGCACAGAGAGGTTACATGATTGCTGAAGGTCAGACAGCACCATTCAGGACATAAAATAAAGTACACCTCACAGCTACACAGTAGAGTCACCTGCAGGTCTTCAAAATGTTCTACTGAGGCCACAAAGTCAGCTTCCCTAGGAGGCAGCCTTGTGGACATCAAATTCTAAAGCCACGTCCAGGTATGTTTGTGTGGCCAGCCTGACATATCTGTGTCTAACCTTTATTCCCCCACCAGTGGAGGCCCTGTCACCGGCCCTGCTTCCTTTTTATTTTTAAATTAATCTGTAATTCAGTGAGGCTTGGGCATGGCTGCTTGTAAAATGGCAGCCACCCCAGCTCAGCTGAGCACTCTCTGACTCTCCCTGTGATGGTGTCCTTCTGTCTGTTCTCCTGGGGGTTTCTGGAGGCTCCTGGGGGGCTGGGAGTAGAGCCCGGGGTCCCCTCAGTGAGTGGGGAGGCTGGCCATGAGGGAACAGTGCGAGAGGGTGGGCCTGCCCTGTCTTCACAGTCGAAGCCTTCGAGGAGGTGATGGACAGCCTCTGTGTCCCCCAGTACAACAAGGATGGGGAGGAGAGGGTGCTCCTTTTCCTGAAGATGGCTTCCAGCCACACGTTTGGACTTCACCTGGTGCAGCGCATCCGCAACGCCATCCGCGTCGGCCTATCGGCCCGGCACGTACCCAGCCTCATCCTGGAGACCAAGGGCATCCCGGTAGGCTGCCGGCTGTGACCCCTGCCCTGGCACTGGGGTGGGGCCATCCTCCTGCTCCAGGAACTCTCTCCAGAAGTTTGCTCGTGCTTTATATATAGTTGTCTGCATTGCCTGGCAACCCCACCTCTTTTTTCTTTCCTGCCATCTCTTTTTTTACCCTTCCTAAATTTTATTTAAAGCAACTTCTGCTAAATACCTATGTTCAGAGGGCAGGCAGGCCCAGCCCTGCACATCCAAATGGCTTTTCCCCAATGGAGTTTTAGCATGGTCTCAAAATTATTAATGAGAAAAATAATTTTAATCTTTTAAAGAGCCACTGGGGTGCTGTTGCTCTTGCCTTTTAAAGTTCTGCCTTTGGAAAGAAGATTTGAATCTATTTAGAGGCATGTCTCCAGAAGGCTGCTCTTGTTCTTATACGTTGTTTAGGGAGGAGTGGGCCCAGATGGGGTCACAGCTTTACCTCGCATTGCTCACAAAGTGAATGCCACTGTGACCGAGGGAAGAAACTTCCACATGAGTGTATGCACCTGTGCACTTCGTGTGGTCTAGACGGGCAGCCAGGCCAGGCTGTGTCTTAGGCCTACGGAATAGCTGTTCACTGCTGGGAGACAGGGCCAGTGGTGAAGCAGGGGTGTAAGGGGCATCAGAGACAGGATTTCTTGCATGTCACGCATTTCCTTTAGAGCTGGTTGTACACAGTTCCTTGGTTGGTGGCTTCTGGTGGCTCTGGAGACAGCAGCTCTCTCGGAGTCAGTGATGCTGCCCTTCCTGATGAGGGTCTGAGGCTTTTCTTCAGTGAGTCAGTTATGTCTACATCTGGGGAACTAGAGTTTGATGGTCCCCTTGGCTTTATTTCCTTGAAGAAGAACCTGTGTCCTTTGCTGCCCAAAGGTGGCTCCCCAGCTGCACCTGCTCCTGAGACTAGCGAAGCAATTTATCGGAAGGGGGAGGATCGTGGCCCTCTCCTGCCCTTGGCCTGGTTCCTGTCCGCTTGCTGCCAGGCACCCAGCTCGGCTCCGTGCTCTCTTCTCCCCAGGGGCAGTTGGCTCTTGAATGACACGGGTTTGAACTGCACAGGTCCACTTGTGCATGGATTTTTTTTTTTTACAGTAAATATATTGGAGGTCTTTTTGGAAGTTTGTAATGATTTGAAAAAACATTTTCTCTTCTATAGCTTACTTTATTATAAGAATAAATAGATACAGCATGGATATAATACAAATATGCATATAATACAAAATGACATACAAAATCAACTATGTTATTGGTAAGTTCTAATTAATAGTAGGCATGCTAATGAAGCTTTGGGGAGTCAAAAGTTATACACAGATTTGTGACGGCACGGAGGCTGGTGCCCCTAAGCTCCCGCACTGGTGAAGGCTCAGCTGTACTGTTGCCTCAGTCTCCTTGGCTTGTGAAGTCATTCTGATGGTTGAGAGTTTTCAAATGCCCTTGTACTTTCAGATCCCTGTGGGCTGAACCAGTGGCAGTCGCCCAGGGAATTTCTGCCTCTCCCCCGTCCTCCTCACCGTAGGAAACAGTGGCCAGATTTCTTCTAAAATGATGCCTTGTTTGCTCTGTTAGCTGATGGAAGATATAAATTATTAGCTCCCATGAGCCACTCTTGGAGCTTTTGAGTAAAGCTTAGAAGCACATGAAGCATGTGAGACACACTTCAGGGTGAAGGGGCTGGTGGCACCAAAGTGACAGGCAGTTCCCGGAAGCTAGCGCTCAGATCCTTAATTAGTTCACACGTTGACTGTTCTTCAAATGAATGGATTTTAATTATATCTCACGTTAAAAAAAACAGCACCAGTGTGAGGAGAGCAGGGCACTGGCAGTTTTACTAAAGGGCTTTGCCCTTCCAGAAGTTTCCTGGCCCCTAGATACACCAACACCAGTGCTAAGAGCCCATTCATATTAAAGATGAATAAACACAGGGGGCACAAATTTTAGAGGGAGCTTTGGACATTCAGAGAGTTTAGTGAGGAGAAGAGCAATGCCCGACCTGCTCAAGTGAGCGGCCCTGAGGGAAGGCTTTGCAGAGGTTTGATGAGGCTTGATTCCCAGTTGCAGGTGGGGGACGAGGTCATAAGAAGCCAGCCCACTCCTGAAATAAGAGGAGTGGCTGGTCTTTATGATACAGTAAAGTGGAATAAAATAGGTTAAATAATGAGTGGGAATGTAACACCAGGTGGGCACTCCGGGCGCTGTGTGTGTGTGTGATCCTGGAACCTCACTCCAGCCCCGGAACCAGGCCTATCCTCCCCACATTACATTTGAGGAGACAGACTCTGGTGTAGGACTTTGCAGTGTGGCGGCAGGAGTCACACCTGCTCATCTTCACCCAGAGGCCCAGCTCTGTGCTGGTGGGCCGAGCATCCCTGTTCAGTGCCCCGGGCTGAGGTCTGTGTTTTGGGTCAGGTCCTGGACATCAGAGCAGGGAGTTTCCTCCTCAGGCTTAAATGCTGTTATATTTGTTTTCTCCACCCTTTCTGGCAGTACACCCTCAATGGCAAGAAGGTGGAAGTGGCTGTGAAGCAGATCATCGCCGGCAAGGCCGTGGAACACCGTGGTGCCTTCTCAAACCCCGAGACCCTGGATCTATACTGGAGCATCCCTGAGCTGCAGGACTTCTGAGTGGACCACCCTGCACGTATTTCAGCCATACACATTGGTACCATAGCTCATGTACACTCAAATGACTAATGAGCCCGCAGCACTTTCAGAGGGAGTGTGACCAAGTGCTTTGGGCCTGGGAAGAATCATTTCTGTTTTGTAGTTCTGTCGGGTGGGTGCCTGAGTCTTCTGTTCTAAAACGGGGTCCTGATCTTTGGAGCCGACAGGAGCGGGGGATGTCTGTTGTGTGAATGGCCATGCTTTGAGAGTGTGTCCTTGCACATGTGTGCTTGAATGCACGCACTGCAAGAAGCTGGGGTGGCTTGTGCGTGCAGTCACAGCCAATGCCCAGTCACGTGTGCAGTGCTGGCTGGCACCCGAGGAGTGCCTTGCCTTCAGTCTCACACCTGTGGTTCTGTTTCGCTTGTGGAGGCACAGACCAGTCTCTTCCCTTGACGGTGGTCTCCCGGCTCTGGCTGCTGTCTGTCAGGGCCTGTCCAGCTGCTGTTGCGCGGGAAGCTGCCCCAGTGTGACTTAATGCCATCTTCTTAGAGCTGATTGTTAGGACCCTGGTGGCTGACTGCTCTTATGTTGTGCATGTGTCTTGGATGGAATACATGTGGTCCCTAGTGGAACTGCGTGTTCACACGACAACTGAACCATACTTCCCAGAGAAAGCCTCTCTGGAGAACAGTGGATTTCATGCTTTAATAGGCTCTCTCTTTCACAGACTTTGAGTGGTTTCCAAAAATTTTAATATTAATTATCTGGTGTGTGCATGCATTTGAAATGGATGCCCACCCTGTGGGTGGTGTTGCTCATGGGGGTGTGGGCGAGTCCCCCCAGGCTACAGGTCACTGTGGATCCCCGTAAGTAGGGCTGCCTGGCCTCAGGGAACGTGGCCTCACCACACTCCTCACCTTGGACCCCCTTGAACCTTCCTGGCAACGTGGTGTCATCAGCAGTTGTAAATCGTGTCGTGTGTGTGATAACTGGGTGGTTTGTATACACTTTTCAGTTCAGTATATTAACAAATTTCTGTAAATCTGTTGTTCATTTTTGTATTTTTTAAAACTGAGCACAGTGAAAAACTTTGTTGAATCCTTTTTCTTCTGGATTATAAAAATATAAGAGGAAAAATGCTATGAGGAATTTAATGCAATAAACAAACATATGTATGTGCACACACCTATAAATGTGTGGTGTGCTGGTGTTTTCTCTGAAGGAGGTGACTGGCTCTGTGGGCATGAGGCTGCTCTGCTGAGGGGCCAGCCGGGAGCCGCGACCTGTGGGAGGTGTTTGGTTCACATGGTTGGGGCATTCCTGGTATGTAGCAACAATCCCTGGTGACCAAATGGCCAGTGAGGGCTTCTCAGAGCAAAGCCAGCACCCCAGAGGAGGATAATGTCTTCACCCAGGGCTCTCCTGAGGTTCGCAGCCACTGGGTTTCTGGACTGCAGGTCCTGTTGTTGGAAGAGCCATGTGTCACTTGGATCGTGTCTGGCTGAGGGTCACAGAATCCAGGCTCAGTGCCACAGGGCTTATTTTTCTCAGGTCACAGGAAGTTGGAGGCAGGTGTTCTGCTGGGGGCTGGTGTAGAAACATCAGGAGGAGCAGAGCTTCCAGCTCTGCCGGTCTTGGGATGCAGCCTCCCCACCTCTGACCTTCCACCTGTGTTCCAAGCAGGAAGCAGGAGCAGGGTGGCACGAGGGCTGAGTGAGGGGCAGGAAGCCCACTCCTCCTTAGAGTGTCCCTTTTTTTTTTATCAGCAAAACAAAGGCTTTTCTGGAAAGCCCACCCAGGGCACATCTGCTTGCGCCTCTGGGACCAGACTGGGTCACATGGCCACGTCTACTGCAGGGGAATCTGGAGAGCTGAGTATTTTAAAACAGGACCTTTTTGTAGTAATGTCCTTTTGCTGCTTTAACAAATTCCTACAAACTTGGTGGCTTAAAGCAACCTAAATTCATTATAGTCTGGAGGTCAGAAGTCTGACGCAGGTCCCACTGGGCGAGTCGGAGTGTTGGGAAGCTGAGTTCCTTCCAGATGCTCCAGAGAGAATCATTCCTTACTTTTTCCAGCTTCCAGAGGGGCCCGCCCCTGGGCTGGCAGCTCCTCCCTCCATCCTCAAAGCCTGTATTGTCTGGCACTGCTTCCTCCCTCTTCCACGTGTAAGGGCCTCTATGACTACATGGGCCCCACATGGATAATCCAGGATAATCCCTCTATTTTAACATCAACTGACCAGCAAGCTTAATTCTACCTGTAGCCTTAAATCCCCTGTCATGGATCCTAACATTCTCAGCGGTTCCAAGGGTCAGGACATGGGCATCTTCGGGGGGGGGCCATTATTCTGTCTTCCTTTGCTAACAGTTGGGGTCCTGCTGGTGAGAAGGCAGGGGAGAGGGGTCATCAGGATGGCATGAGCCCTGAGCCGGAAGAACCAAGCAGGCAGGTCCCTTGGTTGTTGACTGTCCCAGGGCTGGGTGTCCTCCTCGTGTGGCCAGCCTTCCAGTCTCCCTCCTGGGGCTCAGGTCAGGCCTGGGACCTCAAGCCCACTCTTCTGGCTGGTGCTGGGAGGCCTGCTTCATATTGACTGTGCCTGAGGAATCGTTAAGGCTTAATCACCATGCCCTTTTGTTCTGGCAAGACATCCCAGGCTGCCTAGGCCCACATGTCCTTATTAATAAGATGAGCTGGACAGCTTCATTAATGAGAGACAGATGGTCTGAACAACAGCGACTTGAATGCTCCCATGCTGGCTCTCCTGTGACGTGCCTTGGCCTAAGCATCGTTCCTAAAAACTGCCATCTTCTTCTGCCATGGCTGCTGGCTGCCCCGCACCATTTGTCTTCCTGCCACTTCCCCACTGCAGTGTCCCGCTAGCCACTAAAGGGGTGTGAGAACCTGCAGGGCGGCCTGGCCGGGGGCTGCAGGATGGTGTGCTCTTGAGCAGCTGCCCCTCGTCTGTGCCTGCCTGCCCACCTCTGGGGCCCTCTTGAGGCTGTAGGGCTCCTTCCCACATGCGCCACACTCATCCCACCTTCCCAGCCTTGCAGATGCTCCTATGGGATCCCAGAGCACCATGGCTCTGCTTTTGTGCCATGCTCATCTGTGCTGGCGTAGAAACTCCCTCTCTTCTTGTGGGCAACAAGATGGCCTGAATCTGTGCTGGCGTCGAAACTCCCTCTCTTCTTGTGGGCAACAAGATGGCCTGAATCTGCGCTGGCGTCGAAACTCCCTCTCTTCTTGTGGGCAACAAGATGGCCTGAACCCAACAGGGCTTGGGAAAGGCATCTCCTTGACCTTCCAACCCATCCATCAGTATGGACGCAGGAGGACAGAAGAGGCCCTCTTCTTGGGTTTTCAAATACCCAGGGTGAGGGTCTTGTGGGGCATAAACTCTGCTGAGGTTCTGACCACATCCCCTCATCTGGACTCCTGCCTTCAGAGGGAAAGTCATGCACAGACTTAGAGGGATAAGTTATTGTCATTAGGGTGCAGGCTAAGCTGCTCTAATGAGCACCCCCAAATCTGGCTCAATCAGGAAAGCACTTTCCCCTGTAACAGCCCCAAGGTAAGTGGGTGGACCTGGGGTGGGATTGGTGGCTTTCTTTGCAAGGCCAGCCCAGGACCCGGTTTCTTCCATCTGGTTGCTGCACCCTGGCATGTGGTTTTGTCCATGCGGCCGATGCTGGCTCGCTACACTCACGCTGCAGCGCCTTTTGTTTCTGGTTGTCTCCTGACTGCAGTCAGCTCTGAGGAGGCTGGACAAGGTGCTCTCCAGCTGGGTCATCCCTGGCTGGATCCTGCCGGTCTGTAGCTGCAGTCAGCCCGGGCCGGTGAGTGTGTGCGTGTAAAGGCAATACTTGCTTGTGTTTGTATCTCTATCTCTTGAAGGGGAACTCTACAGTTTGTGAGACAAACCGGTTTTTATAACATTTTGGCTTTGTGTATGTGCATGTACTTTTGTATATACATGTACACTTGTATGTGTGTGCATATGTTTTTATGTGAAGGTCTGTATTTGTGTGTGAATGTATATGTATGTGTATGTAAACATGCAGATACATGTGTGGATGTGCATGTGTGTGAATGTGTGTTGTCTGCAGTGAGATGTTGTGCCTGTCAAAACCTGGACGAGAGAAGCAGAGAATGCAGTTTCTGTCTTAACCCAGGTGACTGAGTCAGGCCTGGTGCCCTCTCCAGGGCAGGCCAGCAGGATATTTCCCAGTCTTCATGTCCTGCCTCTTACAGTGGGGTAAGAGGTAGCCACTTACAGCCATATGGCCTCAGCCTGGGCCCCAAGCAGTTTCCAGTGTGGGGACAACTTTGTTTCTAAATTAAGTGGCTTTTCCTGGGTGTTCTGCAGAGCAGGGGACTGGGCACTAACTCATTCATACCCTGGTTTGTCACTGGGTCCAGTGGTCATCAAGGTTGGGCTGCTGGTGCTACAGTATGTACTTCTCAGGCAGGGACACAGGTGGTCAGCAAGGAAACGAGAGATCTGACCAGACGTGATGGCCGGAGACTTCTCCGAGGACGCAGCATGGAGGCCTGGCCTGAAAGGGAAGACACCACTGCAGCCAGTGGGCAGCCAAGGCTGGGCACGAACCAAGGGCTTGTGGACTGGCCTAGGGCAATTTGGAGAAAGCAGGGGTCAGAACCAAGTGGGAGGTTGGCAGGGCCGTGGAGCTGAGTGCTGAGTGTGGACTGTGTTCTGGGGGTGACCTAGCCTGGAGGATTTTGAGCTCAGTCGTGACAGCAGCGGAAGCACATTGAGAGGGTGTCCGGAGGACAGTTCCTTTTGCTTGCCTGGCGGGGGGAGGGTCTGGGCTGGGTGGGAGACTTACCTGCTTTCTCGTCTCCTTGCTGTGGCCCCCAAGCACCACTTGTGCACAGAACATGAGACCAGTTCTGGTTCATCAAGTATATGGGTGCTGAACACAAAGCCCAGACAATTGGGAGCCTGTCAGATGTGCCGGGAATCCTGAACTTGCTTCGATGAGCTACGGTCTCTCTCCCAGGCCATGACTACCTTCTGAGCAAACTCATTCTAATAGCCTGCTGCCATTTTGTCCCCAAGCTTTCAAGACCATTGTAAGCAAATAAATAAAGGCTGGTTAGGAGGATGTTTAAAATACATCACAGGCCAAATAAGAAGAAAACAAATCCTACCATTTGCAATAACATGGATGGAACTAGAGGGTATTAAGCTCCATGAAATAAGCCAGGCAGAGAAAGACAAGTACCAAATGATTTCCCTCATTTGTGGAGTATAACAACGCAGCAAAACTGAAGGAACAAAACAGCAGCAGACTCACAGACTCCAAGAAGGGACTAGTGGTTACCAAAGGGGAGGGCGGGTGGGAAGGGAGGGAGAAGGGGATTGAGGGGTATTATAATTGGCACACATGGTGTGTGTGGGGAGGTCATGAGGAAGACAGCGTAGCACAGAGAAGGCAAGTAGTGACTCAGTGGCATCTTACTACACTGATGGACAGTGACTTCAAGGGGGGTATGGGGGGGAATTTATGATATGGGTGAATGTAGTAACCACATTGTTTTTCATGTGAAACCTTCATAAGAGTGTATCAATGATACCTTAATAAAAAAAAATACATCACAGGCCAAGCACTGTCTGTGTTGTGGTGGCTGATCAGGCTGGAGCGCCTCCTTTGCTGTCACAGCAGCTAGTGGGTGCCATCGTGATTTCATGAGATGGCTTCCAGGAGAGAAGCAGTCAGTCCATTCATTATGTGCCGGAACAATTCCCACACCTCTTCATCTTGGGGTGCCCTTCCTGTTCCCCCTCCCGCTTCCTTCTTTCCCTGACTCAAACAGCAAAGCCCAAGTCCAGATGGGTTTTGGGAGATTTGAAAGGTGTGGTTGTCAGGTGACTGCACACTGCTTGAGCCCAGTTTTCATTTTCCAGGCTCTGAGTTTGTCATCCTCACAGTCCTGCTTACCATTTACCAGCGCACATGGTCTAATTCTTGTTGGTGTCCACTTCCTTTTTATAGTGATAACTCAGGATCTTGTTGGCTATAAGTAACAGAAACTCCAAGCCAACCTGGCTCAAGCCAAAAAAGGGTATTATTAGCTCACAGTTTTGAAAACTCCAGTGCTAGCATTATCTTCAGGTGTGGCTGGATCCAGGGGGCTCCAATGATGGCATCAGGGTTCTCTGTCTCCA